AAACTTAGAATTTGAGACACACACACACACACACACACACACACACACACACACACACACACGGTCACACAGGCAGACTCACACATCCAAACATGCACACACGCATGCGCGCGTGCGCACACACACACACACACACACACACACACACACACACACGCACACACACACATCTGCATTCGAGTGTATTCATGCAGACACAGCAGGAAGACACTGAATCACGGTTAGATGCTACTTGTCACTATCTCTGCCCCGACACAGGGTCAGGCTCAATGCTCCCTTGCGATACACATATGGTCAGCGCCAATGAGACTCACAGAGCTATTAACAACAACAACAACAAACAACAGTAGTATTTAAAAGAGGACATTGCAGGGCACAGAAAAACACACCTTCCCTCTTGGTACTTTAGGAGTCAGAGGCAGGCAGATCTTTGTGAGTTTTAGGCCACCCTGGTTTACATAGTGTGTTCCAGGCCAGCCAGGGCCACATAGTGAGACCCTGTCTCAAAACCACAGCCCCCCACCAAAAACAGACATGAAGTCTGGAGTGAGGCAAAGCGTAAAACGGTAGAGCCCCCGGGGAGTTGGAGAGAAGCATTGTGAAAATTTCAAAAATAAATTAAAATACTAATCAAAAAAGAAAAAAAAAGGACACTCATATGAACTTACAGACACTGAGGCAGCATGCACAGGACCTGCAGAGGTCTGTACCAGACCCTCTGCATATTAATTAAGGCTTTCAGGTTAGTGTTTTTATTGGTTTCCTGAGTGTGTGAACGAGTGGGTGTTTGATTCCTGGGCCTTCTCTTGGGCACTTTTCCTTCTGTTGGTGTGCATTGTCCAACCTAGTTGTCATGGGTTTTTGTTTCATCTTACTATATTTTATTTTGGTAAAAAAAAAAAAAGAAAAAAACAGAAAAGAAGAGGAAAGCTAAATATTCAAAGGACCACTAGGGGGTGAGAGTATCTTATCTCGATGGTGCATCTTCAAAACACACACTGGGCTGGAAGAAAACATGAGAAATAAAACAACAGCAGCAACAATAAAGAGACTGGTTTCCAGCATGCTTGTGTTAAAGCAAACACCCTTCACGCGCAAAGAGCCCCATAAGACATCCTCTCTTGAAGGGAAAATTGGATGGTGTCATTTTGGCAGGATCCAGAGAGGCAGGACTACTGACACATACACATAAAATCAGCATACTCTGAGCTGGGGAAATGGCTCAGGGGTTAAGAGCACTGGCTGCTCTTGTAGTGGACCTGGGTTTGGTTCTTAGCACCCACATGGTGGCTCACAACCGTCTGTAACTCCAGTTCTAGGAGATTTGACACCCTTTCCTGATTTTCATAGGCACCTAGAATGCACACGTCCGTGCATAGATATATGTGCAGGCAAAATAGTCACACATAAAATAAGAGAATAAATCTATCAAAAATAAATATCACTATGTACTGTGCTTCATAAACAAATAAGCAAGTGAATACCAGTGACAGGAAAAATAATTAAATAAAAGAACAGAAATGAAAAGAGAATACTAGCCATGTATGTGAAGAAACACTGTTTAAAAATATGGGTGTGGTGGTGGTGCATGTCTTTAATCCCAGCACTTGGAAAGCAGAGGCAGGTGCGTCTCTGTGAGTTTGCCACTCTCTGCCTACTCTATAAGGCCCTCTAGCCTAGCATCACCTGCAGAGGGCGCTCCACGGATGGCAAGGGAAATATCCTCTCTGGACTTGGGAGCTGCATGTGTCTTGGTCCAGCCTGACATACATAGTGAGTTCTAGGACAGCCAGGGCTACATAGAGAGAGCCTTCTCATGATATCAAGTAAGTAAGTTAAGTAAGTAAATATCTCACCCATGAGGCCACAGTCCCCTGTATCATTCTCTACAATGCACAGCCCTCTCCCCTACTATGAGAAGACAAGGGATCATGGTATGAGCAAGTCACCAAAGCAGGCAGGTCTGAGGGTTCACAGATGCGGGGTGTCAGCCTATTCCAAACCAAGCAGGCTGTACTTCTTTGGTGGAAGCCTCTGTTCAGGCTAAGAGGTAGGTGCCCAGCTCCAAAGAGTTTTATCTAAGCCACGTTACTATGTTTCTTGCCCTCATGTTTAATTTCTCTGGGTAGCTGATTTTTCAACCCTGCTCTTGTATCTT